GTATGGCATTGCTAAACCTAGAACCAAACAGCCCCAATCGTCCTCGCTTTTTGCCACAAAGACTAATAGTAACATATCTTTGTGGCGCTATCATGATGGAATGACCAATCACTTGCATGCTTGGAGTAGTAAATTGACAGGAATTTACATGAGCCGGCTGGCCAGTAGAGCGCGTGGTCGGTTAGAACAACTCCAAACGGGCAACCCATTTCGTCCGCCTGCGTCTGTTTAATCGGCGCGCATAAAAATGATGACCCAACGCGTCGATCCAAATTCAAATCACATCTGTTTCACGCCCGTGTCGATGTATTTGTGGCTTAAATTTACGTTTCAAATGTGTCGGCGCAGACGCGAAACGGACGTCAGGTGCGCTTTCTCGGCATCCGCCGCGTCCCCATCTGACGGCCGTCCAACTACTCGCTGCCCACGCCGTCAGTTTAATTTATGATCACGGGCCCACACGTCAGCGACGACGGGCGTCCTTTTGGATGGGAGTACTGCACGAGTGGGTGTTCGCGCCACCGGTTTGGATGAGGGTGACGCCGGCGCAGGAGACGGCCTACCTCGAGATGTGGCGCCAGCGACGGCTGGTCGAGGAGCGCCGTCGCGGCGAGTACGAGGAGATGCTTGAGCGCGACCTCGAGGAGGAGCAGCGCCAGGCCGCGGCTGCATAGGTGGCCACACAGCCCCCGCGCCGGCACTGCCCGCGTCGGAACAGCTGCCCGCGGCCTACATCGCCGTCGCCTGGAACACGACGTTCCCCTGGGCCGGCCCTGCCCCGATGCTCATCGACCTCACCGATCCCGAAAAGGAGAACGACGACGATGCCTGGAGCTGCGCGCCGCCTCGTAGTTTAGGTTATTTTTTATTTTTCTTAAATGCTAATGCGGACGCATGGAGTCTCACCGGCCTTCGTGACCGGCTATAATGTTTAATTAATGTTTCTTTTAAATATGCATGCGATTTTTCTAGCGCCGTTAAAATGGGTCGGGTCAGCGTTGGGCGCATGCTCCGACCCAAACGCGAAAACATCGTGTCCGCCTAACCGATCCAAACAGACAAAAAAATGGACAAAATCACTGTCTATTTGAGTCGGTCCGTTGAAGTTGCTCTTACGGTTAGTTTACTTCACTCCGGCTTCTTGCCCTTGAGGCTGGTAGCGAGTAACAAAGTTGTGTGCCTCCCTCATGAGTAGAGCAGGCATGATTGTGTCTGAAAAGAGCGAGGCCGCCGCGCCGTCCGCGACAGAAGAGACCGCCGGCCCATGCACAAACGGACACGAAATGGCTTCACAAACATGTGCGGCGTGGCGCGTCTGGGCACGGCCACGCAGAATCGTGGAGCAATCAATTCCCATGACCCCAGCGTCCCTGCGTCGAGCAGCCAGCAATTAATTTTCACACGGATTTTACTGTTTCTTTTTTCTCTCTTTCTCTCAAAAAAAAAAAGAAAAACGGCCGTGAGCACGCACGGACACGGACACGGGCACGGGGTTACGTTTTGGAACACGGACGCGGAATGGTGCGTGTGTTCGGTCGTCCACCCTCGTCGAGTGAGTAGTAAGTGTCACGTACGGCTTCACCAACCGGCAGGCCAGCACTGCGCAGCACAGGAACCTCGCGCGCGCGCGTGAAGTAAAGGCGGCGGTGAGTCGACCTGAGCGAGCGGTCGCCGCCGTGCATGTGCGAGGCAGATGAAAAAGATGCCTTTTCTCCTTTTCCCTTTCACCGCCGCACCGGCGGCTGGTCCGTCCGACGTGTGCCTGTGGCGCTGTCGAGTCGGCGCGGAGTCACCCGGGCGTTGGCTTTTCTTTTGCCTGCCGGTGCGCGGAGCCAAGAGCCAAGGTTTCATTTCACACTTGCACCTGCACGGAGGCGCCGGACCATTCCACGGGTAGGTAAACAGTTAAGTAACCAGGCCAGGCCCCCTGTGGGGAGGAAGGAAGGACGGGTCGCAATGAATGAATTCCACGTTCCAGCCTCCCAGACCGGGCGAGCCTCCCATCTCGTCCACCACTGCACATGCCACTGTACTACTCGTACTAAAAAAATGTTGCTCCTGCGCCGTGGGCTGGGGCTGGGGCTGGGGCTGGGGCTGGGTGGGCGACCGTTGCTCCGCGTGCGTGCGTGGCAGACTGCCGCGCGTGCTCCTCCCCACTCCCGTCGGCCTCCGCTCTACAAAGAGGTAATAGCACCCCAGGTACCCTAACTTGCACCCAGTGTGATGATTTAGTCCCAAAGTTACAAAACTTGACCAAACCATACCCCAACTTGCACCTCATGTGATGATTTAGTCGCAGACCAATCACAGCTCGCCAATTGGCTGCCAAGTGGCTGGACGGTCAGCGCACGCAGTTTTGCAGAAAAACCCCTGCAGTTTCCAATTATCAACCCGCAGTCACCCCCACTTCTACTGGAAACTACTGTACATATGGGCCAATGCTACTGGAAACTACTGTACATATGAGATGCCAAGAAGTTCGATCCTTCAGAGCTTCTGAAGAACATCGCGCATGGCCGCGCGCGGCCTACACACGGCCTCCAAAGCCACGGCCTTGGGCATGGTGATCCCCACCCCCTCCGTCATGTCCACCTCCACACCGTCCATCCGGTCCCAGTCGAAACACTGCACCAGCGTCCCGAGAACCACCCCGACCGTCTGCAGCGCCAGCGCCTCGCCGGGGCACCTCCACCGCCCCATCCCGAACGGCATCAGCAGCAGCCCGTCGCCCTTGCCGTCCTCGAACCGCTCCGGGCGGAACGCCGTCGGGTCCTCCCACACAGCCGGGTCCATGTGGAGGGCGTACGCGTTCACGATCAGCATGGTGCCGCTCCGCACGTCGTAGCCGCCGACCTTGCAGTCGGCGGAGGACTCGTGCGGCAGCAGCAGCGGCGCCGCGGGGTACAGGCGTAGCGTCTCGTTGATGATGCACTGGAGGTAGCTGAGGCGGGGCACGTCGTCGGCGCTGAGAGTGGGAAAGGCCAAAATTAAATTACTAGAAATAAACACGTTGGAAGTGGGATTCATCCAGCTAAGTGACATGGCCGTGTTACTCGCCTACGTTGAGTGACCACTATCTGATTAGATATATGATAAGACAGATAAAAAGTGGAGTACTGGACTAACACAATGACTCAGGTCGAGTTGTTGCTATCTGATGACCACTATCTACTGATGATGCCAAATTGCCAATGTCCTTAATGAAGAAACTGACAGTTGAAGTACTCGGGTATGTGAGAAGCAACCAAGTGGAAAAGTGACTTACCGCACACAGAGCGATGATCATCTGATCAGTGTACAGCTCCGGCTCCATCTTCTGCAGAGTGAGGAGCACGGCGATCATGCTCTTCTTCTCGCCCTCGTCGCCGGCGCCGCCCTCGTCCATCCTTCGCCGCTCGGCGTCGATGAGCCGGTGGAGGAAGGCGTCCCTCCTGCTCACCGTGGCCAGGATCCTGCTCCTCACGCCGGACACGTCGAGCCACCGCATCACCGGCAGGTAGTCCCACACGTTGGCCGCGCCGATGAGCGGGATGATCTCGTCCACCACCTGCTTGAACTCCTGCGCCTCCAGGGACATGTCCATCGCCACGTCCCTGCGCTCCGTCTTCCTCTACGACAACAACCTCACCGGCGCCTTCCCGCCGGCGCTCGGGCGCTGCAGGCAGCTGCAGCGGCTGCTCCTTGCAAACAATGGGTTCTCCGGTCACATACCGGCCGCCGCCTTGCCGCAGATGGAGAGCCTGCAGGTGCTCGACCTGTCGTCCAACTCCCTCACGGACGCCATCCCGCCTGAGCTCGGCAAGCTCCAGGCGCTGGCCGACACACTGAACATCTCCCGCAACCGCCTCTCCGACGCGGTGCCGCCGGAGCTGGGACGTCTCCCGGCGACCGTCACCCTCGACCTCCGCTTCAACAACCTCTCCGGCGAGATCCCGCAGTCTGGATCCCTCGCCAGCCAGGGCGCCACGGCCTTCCTCAACAACCCCGGGCTCTGCGGTTTCCCGCTCCAGGTCCCCTGCCGCGCGGCCCCGCCGTCGGCATCCTCCTCCACGCCGCCTCCGACCACCACTGGCTCCGGCGGCAGCGCCGGCGGCACTAGCCAGCCGATGAAGACCAGCCTCATCGTGCTCATCTCGGTCGCCGACGCGGCCGGCGTCGCCCTCATCGGAGTCATCGTGGTGTACATATACTGGAAGCTGCGCGACCGGCACGGGGATGATGTCGACGACGACGAGGACGAGGAGGGGCGAGGGCTCTTCGCCTGCCCGTGCATGCGCGCAAACACCTGCGGGGACTCGTCGGACGGGTCCGACGCGGGCGGCGGCGAGAAGAAACGCGACAACGGTTCCGGGGGCGGAGGCGGCGGCGAGGACGGGGAGCTGGTGGCGATCGACAAGGGGTTCCGGATGGAGCTGGACGAGCTGCTCCGCGGCCCCGGAGCGGTACAAGGAGTTCGCGGCGGAGGCCGGCGTCGTCGGGCGCGTGCGGAGGCCGGCGTCGTCGTGCTCTTTTTTCCAACGGCTTGCTCTGCTATGAAGAATAGAACAGGTTGATAATTGGAAACGGCAGGGAGGTTTCTGCAAAACTGCGTGCGCTGACCGGCCCAGCCAATTGGCGAGCTCTGATTGGCCTGGGACTAAAACATCGCATTGTATGCAAGTTGGGGTATGAGTTGATCTAGTTTTGCAACTTTGGGACTAGATCATCACATTGGATGCAAGTTAGGGTACCTGGGGTGCTATTACCTCCTCTACGAATCACCACCCTTCCCCATCTCGAGGACGCCACTCCCCTCCCATCCCTCTCACCTCACCTGAGTCCAGTGGCTTTCCGCTCCACTTCGCTTGCCCCGCACACCTGCTCTGCTCTCGCTGCCGCGCCACCCTCCCCACTCCCCAAGTCCCGAGGAACCAAGGAAGGAGGCGACCCACCCCCACCCCCACACCCACGCACGAGCACGAGCCGTGACTGACTGACGCCGAGGAGCCACCGCAGCTGCGATGGCCGCGCCGCCGCCCAAGCAGGAGGAGCTGCAGCCGCACGCCGTCCGGGACCAGCTGCCGGCCGTCTCCTACTGCCTTACCAGCCCGCCCCCATGGCGTGAGCACCCGCATTCCTCGCTCGCCGCCCGTTGCTTCATTTCGAATTTTTTTACTCCGCCCGGATCTCCCGCAACCAACTGACCTCAACTGAAACTCTGCCGTTGCGTTGCAGCGGAGGCCATCCTGCTGGGCTTCCAGCACTACCTCGTCATGCTCGGCACCACCGTCATCATCCCCACCGCGCTCGTCCCGCAGATGGGCGGCGGCAACGTACGCCCCTCCTCCCCTTCCCCTCTCCCCCTCTCCTCTCCTCTCCTCTGCTCGCCCGGCCTCACGGTGCCTGAACCGAATCCGCCCGATGCAGGAGGAGAAGGCGCGGGTGGTGCAGACGCTGCTCTTCGTCGCCGGGATCAACACGCTGCTGCAGAGCTTCCTTGGCACGCGCCTCCCCGCCGTCATCGGGGGCTCCTACACCTTCGTCGCGCCCACCATCTCCATCGTCCTCGCCGCCCGCTACAGCGGCATCGCCGACCCGCACGAGAAGTTCCTCCGCACCATGCGCGGCACGCAGGGCGCGCTCATCGTCGCCTCCACGCTCCAGATCATCATGGGCTTCAGCGGCCTCTGGCGCATTGTCGTCAGGTTCGCCCCCCTTCCTCTCCCCGGTTCCCCCGCAGAGGGGGTTCAGGTTCCAGGTGTTTGGCTCCATCAGTGTACCGATTTGTGTTGACCCCTGTGCTTTCTGGTGATGCCGCAGGCTGCTGAGCCCGCTGTCGGCGGCGCCCCTCGTCGCGCTCGTCGGGTTCGGCCTCTACGAGCTTGGATTCCCAAGTGTAAGCCTTCTGTTTGTGCACACACAAATCTGCACTTCTGAATTATGTCTGTGTGTAGTTGACAGCAGTGGGGATAACAATAACATAACAGTATGAATCTGCTGTGTAGGTTGCGAAATGCATCGAGATCGGTCTTCCAGAGATCATACTGCTGGTGGCTCTTTCCCAGGTAGTACATGCATCATCAGGACAGGATGGCCAAGCTGCTGTGCTGTGTGATTTCTTACTAACAATATCTGAAGCCTTATGATTGTTATGCAATTTTTTCTGCAGTACGTACCTCATCTGGTGCCTTTGCTGGGGACTGCATTCGAGCGGTTCGCCGTCATAATGTCGGTGGCCATCGTGTGGCTTTACGCCTTCTTCCTCACCGTCGGTGGGGCGTACAAGAATGCTGCTCCAAAAACCCAATTCCACTGCCGCACTGATCGATCTGGCCTAGTTGGGGGTGCTCCCTGGTAAAAATTTAAGACCATTACAGGATAACCGTATTCATACATATTATGAATGTTTTCTGCAATTTACAGTGGAGGAATTCAGCTACTGATCAGATCATTGCCTTACAATTTGCAGGATAACTGTGCCATACCCATTCCAGTGGGGAGCACCGACTTTTGATGCTGGTGAATGCTTTGCCATGATGGCAGCTGCTTTTGTTGCTCTTGTGGAGGTATTGTGGACAACTAACTGATGATGCTTACATAGATACACATCATTTCCACATCGGAAGGCATCGAGCATTGAGTGAATAACACTCCCTGTTTTGCAATGCAGTCTACTGGTGCTTTCATTGCGGTTTCACGGTACGCCAGTGCAACGCCATGCCCTCCTTCTGTTATGAGTCGCGGCATCGGTTGGCAGGTAACAAACATCTGAATCCCTCCATTGCTCTGCATTTAGTATTATCTGAATACTGAAGGGACGTGTAAGCATCTTCTTACCTTCATTTGTTTTGCGTGCTTATGTAGGGGGTTGGCATTTTGCTGGCCGGCTTATTTGGAACGGCTAATGGGTGCTCTGTATCTGTGTAAGTGGATTGCAGATGATTGGCTCTTGCAGTGCTTATATACTTTATTCATAGTGTGATCTGAATACTGAAGATGTTTTTACACTGTTCTGGAACAGGGAAAATGCTGGGCTGCTAGGTTTGACACGTGTTGGCAGCCGGCGTGTGGTGCAGATTTCCGCTGGGTTTATGCTATTCTTCTCTATTCTCGGTAAGCCTCATGCTTTGATGTAATTCGTGTTCAACATACTCTTGTGTTAACTGAATATCTATCAAGTTTCAAAGATCTATGGTCTGAGGCTCTTCAAGCATTATCTGTATTCTTCCAGGAAAAGTTATTCGTTGTTGCAATACTGCATAAGCAGTGGAAGAGGAATACATTAATAGATAAAGCAGTTCATTTTATAAATAACCAGCTCAGGAGCAGTTAAGCCAAAAGCCTTGAAATCTGGTTTTATGATGACAAAAGAAATAACTGAAAGCAAAACTAGGTCCTGGTATCCTGTATAAATATATTGGTAGGAAAGTGTGGTCTCATGATTCCGTTTTGTTTTGCACCAGTTTTAAGCTCCTCCTGCACCTCACACAATAACCATGAAGTGTATCTGATGGCACTGCTTTTGTGCTGCATTTGCAGGGAAATTTGGAGCTGTTTTCGCATCAATTCCGGGCCCAATAATCGCAGCCATATACTGTCTTCTCTTTGCATATGTTGGTATGTATTTGAAGCTACTCGTAAATAATAGATCTTGCTTTATTCATGACGGTTGAATTGAATAAATTTGATATGTTGTTTCTGTGCAAACAGGTATGGCAGGGGTCGGGTTCCTTCAGTTTTGCAACCTCAACAGCTTCCGAACAAAATTCATCCTGGGATTCTCCTTGTTCATGGGTATATCGGTTCCACAGTATTTCAATGAGTACACCTCTGTTGCAGGCTTTGGCCCGGTACACACGCACGCAAGATGGGTAAGCTCCAGTGCAAACCAAGTGTTATTCAGTTATAATGGCTACCATCTGACACCTCGTGTAAAAAACCAATCAACATAATCATTTTCTCAGTGAAATGCGAACAATAGTGCGTAAACATTTGCTGCAGTAATCATGTGCTGCCATAATTGGCTCAGTTATAAGTTTATAACCACATAGCACTTGTAGATATGGTAATCTGACTGATATTCCAGACATGCTGTTATGTTCTGTACCATGATCTTGGTGGTGATACAGAATCTACAGGTTCTTTATACCTAGTGAGGTGATCAGTGATACACTCACTGATAGTACTTATTTGTTTTTGTGTTGTTTAACTCCTGTTCCTGAATATATCCTCCTTTCACATGCTGAATACTCCCTCCGTTCCAAAATATTTGTCTTTTTAGTGATTTCAAATGGCTACCACATACGGATGTATATAGACATATTTTAGAGTGTAGATTCACTCATTTTGCTCCGTATGTAGACTGACACCTGATGTTTCTCATTTCCTCACTGCCAGTTCAACGACATGATCAACGTGGTGTTCTCGTCGAAAGCGTTTGTCGGAGGCGCCACCGCCCTTCTCCTGGACAGCACCCTGCACAGGCACGACAGCACCGCCAGGAAGGACCGGGGCCACCATTTCTGGGACAGGTTCAGGTCTTTCAAGACAGACCCGAGAAGCGAGGAGTTCTACTCCCTGCCCTTCAACCTCAACAAGTTCTTCCCGTCCTTCTGATCGATGCTTCTAAAGAGAGAACGGAAACGTCACACGATTGATTAGTCCTCGCCTCTAGGGAAGTAGCTTCTTGCGATGTGAATGCTGTTGTCCTCCCTGATGATTTTTTGTGCCTCTGAGTTCTGAATCCTGCAGATCTCGGTGTAAACTGTTATGAGAAAATAGAGAGGTGACTCGATAGTTTCTGAATGTATATTGGGTCATCAATAAAATGAAAGATTCGTCGCTCGGTCCTGATCGATCTTTTAGCTGTGCATCTTGTTGAACCGCTGACGATGCTATCTGGAGTATCTACGTATTTAACACTGCACTGTACTGAACGTTTAAACTTTGTCTCACCATTCTAAGCTGGTACCTTGGATGCAAAACATGGACGCTTGAGAGGAAGAGGATAGTATAACCCTGTCACCAAGTATCCTGTTTAGAGTATGCTAGTTGAAACATGGGCAAACAGATGTAGGCAGCGACCAAATGGTCGGCGTTCGCCATCAGCCAGCTTGTGTCCTTCCCGATCAAACTTTCAGTTGTGTGACACACTGAGCTGTACAACATTTGAACTCGTTGTAAGCTAATCCTGGGTGCAAGATGCTTGAAGCAAGCCGATTAATATAGGAAACTATGTAATTAAAAAACCATGTAAGGGTAATAATGCAAAAACTCCTCTGTATGTGCTTCTACAGTTATACCATCTACCAACAACAAAAACAACCAAGTTTTTCTGGTAGTTTCCGCATGTATGCGTGCAATTGCACTTTGTTTTATTGATTAATATAGTGTGTGCAGCTAAAAAAAAGCTTTTAGTCCCAAACAAGTTGGGATAGGCTAGAGCTGAAATCCATCAGTGGCAGGTTTTGAACAGGAATTAAAACATATTTTACATGCGAACTAGGTAAACTTTCTTAGGTAATCCTAGGTCCAATGGCAGAAGGCCAATGGCGGCGCTAGGAATCCAATCATGTGTAATCAATTAAACCTTGTGCAGTCAGATGGATACATTTTATAAGATTTTTCACATGATTTTGCTTGTTTGTTATTTTTGCAAAAAGCTATGTAGTTAATTGACTACTCAGCTCAAGTGTGCTTTCGCCATTGGCTGAAGCTGGAAGCCTCAATGGCTATGTTGCCAAGAGGGCTCTTTTCCAGACTAACACTGAAATCACACTGGAATGCAAAGTTATGGCAGTCATGCTGGATGAAACATGGGCACCACAGGACAGTAGCATGATCATATGCAACTCAAATCAATCATAACAATTCAACAATGAACCAATAGGACAAAAATAATTTACTCGGACATAAAGAAGATGCAATAAATCATCATATAATAATTAATAGCATTCAACACCATGTTCAAGTAGGGGATTATAGCGAATTGCGGGAGAGTGGGCCGCTTAATAGAGAGGAAGGAAGGTGATGGAGATGTCGGTGAAGACGGAGAAGTTATTGGAGATGATCGCCGTGATGGTGGTTCCCCCTGCGGCACTTCGACGCCACCGGGAGAGAGGGGGAGAGAAGCCTCCCTCCTTCTTCCTGCACCTCCCCCTAGATGGGGAGAGGTTTCCACTTCTGGTCCTTGGCCTCCATGGCGCCCGGAGGGGCTAGAGCCCCTCCGAGATTGGATCTCTCCTCCCCTGTTTCTCTCTATTTTGGAATTACTTTTGAAGAGATCCATAATCTTGATTATGCTGGAATTTTAACACATTTTTTTAATAAATTAGCTTTCTTGCGACGAAAGAAGAGCCCCACCGACCTTCAAAACCCCCACACGGGCCCCTCATGCGGGTGGGGCTTAGGTCATGCCGGGAGGCCGTGTGGAACCCCCGGGCACCGCCTTACGACGGTCCCTTCGTCCAAAAATCTGATATTTTCCATAAAAATCTCACAAAAAAATTCAGCCCGTTTCGGCTCAGTAAATTTTTGGCATATATTTTCAAAACAATAGAAAATAGGAACTGACCCTCAGCATTGGATTAATATATTAGTCCAGTATTATGCCAAAAACATAAAAAAAAGATGTAAATATAGCACTAATACTTTAAAAATTATAGATACATTGGTGATGTATCAAACTGTCGACACGAATCACAACGAGAGAAGCCGCTCATGACGGCGTGCTGGCGGCCACGGGAGCATCAGGACGGTGCGACAACACTGTGTGGCTGGCTTTGGGATGGTGAAAACTAACCCGATAAGGTGTAGTGAGAGTATTTGGAATGGAGACAGGCAACAAATTGAAGTATAAACATGCTTCATAAACAACAACACTGACCGGCGGGAAAACCGAAAGGTCAGAATTAAAGGATCAACACATATGGGTCAAATATAGCAACTTATCAGTGGAACTGTTGGTCTGTTTCAGCCGTCGGTATATGAATTTGAACATTTTGAGAACAAGACGTATGAAACTGCAGTACCCAGTGATCCATTACATCCAACTATGGGCCTCATATATGCAACTAAAAAAACTATGGGCCTTATGATTAACTGCAGTACCCAGTGATCCATCAATAAGCCCATTGAATTGTTACAGTAGCTTCCCCGCAAAAAAAAAAAAGAATTGTTACAGTAGCCAGCCCACTTGTGTCATCACGCAGGCCGAATGGCAGAGTTGCCGGTGGACCCCTTCTTCCATCCTTGTCTAAAAAAAAAACCATTCTTCCATCCCCACGGCCGGCCGCCCCCTCGCCGCCGGCTGCTGCCAGCGCAGTCCGGCGTCTCGCAGCGGTGGTCACCAGACTCCGGCCCCATCATCGCCTCCCTCCTC